TCAATTTTAATATATTCTAAAGTATATATACTTTATATTACTATATAAAATATATTGTAGAACAGGTATATTGACTTTGACTTGTATAAAAATACGTATGCTGTTGGCACACTGAATGATTTTAAAACCTGTAGTTTAGATGAGTCTTTTTTACTACGACGTCACTTGTACAACTTCAAGATACCGCTAGTTCAATCCGCCGTTCTTGCTTTCCCAGACACTTCACAACGTATAATCCGTCTGTGTTTTTTGTCCCCTCCCTCTTCAATGCTTCAGCCCTCTCTTATCAGCCCAACCAATCAGCGTTCTTCGCTTTTGTTCTTAGTTACCCAGGCAAATAGCCGCCTCTAGTTCGACCAATCAGCACACGACTTGCTGTCGGTGGAAGCATGCCAAACTGTACAAACCCCCACGTTACCGCACATACTGCTACAAGTAATGGGCGGGAGAGCAAACTTGCCGATGTCACGTGTCGCATCTTAAGGTAAGACCCTTATTTGCCTATGCACCAGATGCAAGCCACTCTGGCTCGCTTTCTTCCACGAGGCTGTTCACCACAAAACCATAATCGGCACGTAATTAGCAAAAAGGTTACAGACTCCTGCTCTATCCTATATCGCAAGTTGCAACCCAAGAAATACAGAAGCATTATTATTACTATTATTGTTTTTTCTTATTGTCACATTATCCTTCAAATTCCAGAAATGTAGAAAACACTAAAACTATTTCTACACACACAAATTTAATCCATTGTAAATTGGACCATTTGGTAAGTCTACTCAGGTCCATTAAAACTAAATGCTTGACACTTAACACATTGTTGTCATGAACTACTTAACACCTTCCTTCTTGTAATGAACCGCTTAACACTTTACTGCCATTGGTCGTCTCCACTGAACTATGACTTTCCCAACTTTTAACAAAATATTATGATCATCAATTTTTGACTCAAAAATTACTATGCTAGTTTAATGGTGGGGAGGGCCCGGACCAAAAATATCCCAGCCTCCGCAAATATCGGTTTTACTAGCATTGGTATTACTACCTATCCCCTTTTTTTAGTGCAATGAGGGAGGAACTGTTGTGGGCAGCTCTTCCCGAAACCGGCACCTCTCAATAATTTTTCAGTTGATTTCTTCTCGAAAACATACACAACTGATAGATGATGAATTGAAACTCGCGTGTTTCACTCGAAGATCCTATTATTGATTGCGCTATAAGATCCACAGACCACTTGTCTGTAAACAAAATAAATATGTTTAAAAATTTTAAAGACTAAAGAAATAAATGAAAGGTAATTATGGCATTGTCCTAAAATGCCTAAATTTCTTTCTATGGTAACATTAAAAACATTGGCTGGAAAATATTCCCATTGACTTAATAGGGCTTTTAGTGGCTCTAATTCTATGATGATTAACTGGACTACAATCAAATTGAACAGACCATTTGCCGTAGAAATGTAGTTACAATCGCTGAAATAAAACAGTTAATCTAATCTCCAAAAGTAAATGTCGGAAAATGATGAAATTTATTGCGTAATTTAAGGATAAAAATGGACAGAACTTATAATAATTACATTAAAAACGAAAAACAAGAAGCTCAACGGTTGGAAGGTCTCAACATTGACCTAGTCAGAAAACAAAGTAAATTTTCCCAGAGTTATCTTCCTTGAACAGACAACGCTAGGTACAATGGCGAATTGTTCGATGATGTTTTACGAAACCCGGAGTTGAAAAAACGGGGTGAAAGGCCAAGATACAATCATAATATTTGTTAAAATTCCTGATAAATTACATAGGATAATTATAACTATGAGAAATAAAATTTTAGAGAAAATGAATATTGGCTTCGATTAAAAAAAAGTTTACTCCCTTATATAGAAAGGCTGAAATGCATTTTATTTTTCATTTTTTTTTTAATCCATTTCATTCCAAGCAAGGCAACATTGCCATGATAATGCAGTGGGGAGGGGCTGTTATATGAGTGAATGTAAAAGCTAAAATGAAAGTGAAAGTGAAAGCGAAAGCGAAAGTGAAAGTGAAAGCGAAAGTGAAAGTGAAAGCGAAAGTGAAAGTGAAGACTGAGAATGGATGAGATGGAGGAAAGGACAAAACTGAATTCAGAAGATGACGATGGACGCTGCATTTAAATGTTTGAAGATTGCAGTTATCAAGGAAGCAAGAAATCGGAAGAGAGTTGTACGGGTGGGAAGTGCGAGAAAAGAAACTGTTAGCATAGAAGTAGCAGTTGAATGTAGCTAGTTCAATAGTAAAACAGTGAGACCTAATTGCCAATCAAGTAACACGCTTGAATTCATGTTGTCGGGGCACCAGGGGAAAATATCATCAGAGCAGTTACCGTGAAAATGCAGATCAAAAACGAATCGTAAACCGACAGGATAATAAGATAAAGGAACAAATAGGAAACGTATATCAATCTGACATATTTCACTTTTATTAAAGCTTCGTCGAAGATTGAGAGAAAACAGACAAAAATCCGGAAACATTGGTATTTTCAATTATGTTTGTGTCAGCTCTGAAATAATTGAAAAATACCAGTATTTCTATCTTTTTTTTATGTTTTCTCTGTTGGAGACCAGTATGTGTTAACATGCTCCGGTCAATATAAAATCAGGCAATCTGAGTCTTGCTTCTAGGACGACTCAGTCTGCATATGATTCGGCAATAGGCCAACATCTACTTACGTAATCCCGACTGTGCCACCAAATATATAGATAGATTTTCACTCTTTTGCACAGAGCACGGTGTATTCATCACTTGCGTGTCCTTGAAGTAGTCTCATTAAGTTACATCAATCGGATCTGTGCAAGCAGAAAGCACATTTTATTCACTCTCTATGATTTTTGGGAGGATTATGAGTGAGAATTTTTCCTTTTTACACTCTGTTGTAACTTTTTATCACTTATTTTAATTGTGAATTGTTTACCATTAAATCGTTTTAATCGTGTTCTGCTCCTCATTTAATATATATATATATATATATATATATATATATATATATATATATATATATATTGCGAATATTATCCCTTTCTTACATCAGATTTGTGTCAACGGTTACCTTTTGAAAAAGTTTTATCCGAAAAGGATTCCTTTAGGAAAAAAAAATGAAAATGCCGTCGGTGTCTATGTTTCGCCGTGTCAAGTACTTGTTCATATATATATATATATATATATATATATATATATATATATATATATATATATATATATATTATATTGAATATTATCCCTTTCTTACATCAGATTTGTGTCAACGGTTACCTTTGAAAAAGTTTTATCCGAAAAGGATTCCTTTAGGAAAAAAAATGAAAATGCCGTCGGTGTCTATGTTTCGCCGTGTCAAGTACTTGTTCATATATATATATATATATATATATATATATATATATATATATATATATATATATATATATATTGCGAATATTATCCCTTTCTTACATCAGATTTGTGTTAACGGTTACCTTTGAAAAAGTTTTATCCGAAATGGATTCCTTTAGGAAAAAAAAAATGAAAATGCCGTCGGTGTCTATGTTTCGCCGTGTCAAGTACTTGTTCATATATATATATATATATATATATATATATATATATATATATATATATATATATAACAATAAAAAAAATTAAAATCTTCAGTCACACTGGGTTGTATATTAATATTCTTTCGTTTTTATTATTTCATTTAAATTCCTCGACTAGTTTCGGCCAACATGGCCATCATTAGGAGAAAAAAAAAGATTTCTCCTTGCTGGTAGCAGTGAACTACAGAAATGAATGTCTTGATGGAGAAAATGAACTTTTGTCTGTAGTTTTCTTTTGTTTTTTTTTTTATTTTTTAACATGAATTTTGGTCATTCCTTGTGTTGGTCAAACAGTCTCTTTTAAGTTGTTATAAGAGCTGGATGGATTCATGCTGCTCTGAATTCCCTTGGTCATTTTCACAGTTTTATTTGTTCCTGGAAAGGGGATGTGTCTCTGTTAAATGTGTGTTATTTGGTTCTTAGGCGTGAGTATGAGTATGATGAGTATGATGTGTGCAAGTGTGTCTATTGCTATGGGTGTGTGTTGTCATTTCGCTCATTAGGGAGTGAGTGAGTATGATGTGTGTAAGTGTGTATATTCGTGTGGGTGGGTGTGAGGCCTCAACACCTCCGCAAGCTGTCTGTCTTGTGTGGGTGAGAAATGTGGGTAGGTCCTGATTTGTGGGGTTATATATTAGTACCATCTATATTGCTAAATTTATGGTTTAGCCCGGCTGGATAGTGCGCTTTTAAACGATGTATCCACTTATTTTCATGGAACTCTAAAATCTTTCTAATGTTATCTGCTCTGAACGTTTCTATTCTCTCTCTCTTTCTCTTTCTCTCTCTCTCTCTCTTTCTCTCTCTCTTTCTCTTTCTCTCTCTCTCTCTCTCTCTCTCTCTGAAAAACATCCTTGACAATGGCTAAGGGAATAGCTGAAAGCGCTACGATGTACAGATTATTTGGACAGTCTTTACACACTTAATAGAAAAGAAAAAAAGATATAAAATACATACATACCCATTCGGGGACAATTTGGAATGCGTTGTTTGTCAGTCACGAACAAGAAATATTGAGGAAATTAAAGAGAATTAAATATGAATGCCATAAAATGACAGAGCAAAATCTCCGACGTGTACATGAATCATGTCGGCACAGAATTAAAATGTGTTTTGAATAAGTAGGATGACATCTTCAACAGCACATGCAACAATATATATATATATATATATATATATATAAAAAGAAATATATATATATATAAGAGAAAGAGAGAGATATATATATATATATATATATATATATATATATATATATATATATATATATATATATATATATATATATATATATATATATATATATATATATATATATATATATATATATATATATATATATATATATATATATATATATATATATATATATATATATATATATGATTTAATTAATTACGGTCAAATCACGTTGAAACACCGGTTCTCGTTCGATCACCGAAGTTAAGCATCGTAGAGCCAGGAACTTAGTACTTAGATGGGGGACCGCTTAAACACCTGGTACTGTAAGCCCCAAAGTCCAACCCTTACCTCCCAGTCGGTGGGGGTGTAAACAGTAGTGTCAGAGCTATGCCGCCCGGAACTTCGTTCCTGGTAGGGCCACCCAAGGCGGACAGGTCTGACACACACGCCGGCTAACAAGGGCTCTGGTGAAAATCCAAGGAGCGTCTGCATCGGTAACCGGCGGCTTCTGGTCGTTCCTGTCTCTGCGTCTGTGGGAACCCCGCGGCAAGCAAGAACGTTATCCGAGTAGGCCTGGGTACCCTACTTCTGTAATTTATCCCAAGAATCTTCTTCTCATAACAGGAAGAAGTCGGCTCAATCCGCCCAGGGTGAATGCCGCATCAGTACAGTACAGTAGTAGTAATTAATCTAATTATATAATTTAATTTAATCTCAAATTTAAATAAAGAATAAGTAATTACTTAAAGTTAAAATATATTAAAAGTGCAATAATTTCGAAATACTCTACTGTAGATTTCCGACCACGATCGTACAGTATGTCTCCTTTCCTCACAAAACTACTGCTATTACAATGTGGATTTTTTTTTAAGTAGCGATGAAAATATTAACAGGGACAATCGTTGGCTACCTTAAACATTTCAACTGGACGTTAAAGGTTTAAAACTGAGCGTCCTTGTATCTTTATCTTTTTCGTTGGAAAATTTTAACAGGCGTTTGTTACTGACACCATTGATAAAACCATTATTCTTCTCAAGGATTTCGCTCTCGGGGAAAACCGTCTTACTTAGGAATTTTCTGATTTTAACAAATCCGTTGGTATATAATCCAAGTGAATCCTAGTAATATAAAACATTAAAACTGATCTAAAGGGATCTCAATGTATTTATTATTACAGAGCAAATAATTAAGAAACAATAAAATCCAAAATCACCTCATATGGAGAATAGTCTATTTCGACAGACGAAAACATGTATGTATGTATTGTATAATTTTTTTTCTTTTCTATAGTGTGTAAAGAGTCTCCAAATAATCTGTACATCTGAGCGCTTTCAACTATTCCCTTAGCCGTTGTCAAGGATGTTTTTCAGAGAGAGAGAGAGAGAGAGAAAGAAGAGAGAGAGAGAGAGAGAGAGAGAGTGCGCCATTGTGCAAATATGCCCTTATTCCACAGAGGAAACTCCGTAAGTTTATCGCTAATTCCATTGCAAATATTCTGACGATCTACGAGTACATTCCTTAATTTCTCCAGCCCTGACCATCAAAGATAAGAACCACCATACCACTTACACTGGAACAAATGATTCTCGTTCCCTTTGTATCAGGTAGTAAGAACGAAGTCCCAAGTACTTGTGGAATAAACTCCCGAGAGGATGCTTCCAGGATCACTCTTTAAGCCAATGATTAACCTTTATCTTTCCTGCATATCTTCTTAAATTATACTTGCCTCGTCCTCTTACGGGCAACAATTTCAATCAGTAATCCTCTACCTTGAGTGGCTCATGGGCCTTGGATTGGGTTAATAAGTACCAAAAAATGTACCTACGCGTAGTTTTTCTAAATTGTAAATGTTACGATGATGCAGACCTCGTAGTTTGCGTCTGTTTTATTCGTAACAGATTAAGGAAAAGACCCTCCGTTCGAAAACACAAACCCCACCCTATTAAACAGGAACTCACCAGCAAATGCCCAGGAATGAAAGTTTTACAATCAAGAAAACTGCTTTGTTTGAAGACCAGCATGGACGACAGGCATAAAACTAAGTCGACAAAGAATAAACAATGTTTACAATGCAACTAAAAGTTTGTCTAAGTGATTAGGGACTCCGGGACACCCGGTAATGAGAGCAGGGAGACAGAATTCCGGAAAGAAATAAAAGAAAGTGAATACAATATTCAAAAGATTTCAATACTTTTATTCCCGCTCAAATTACTTATAGATCTCCAAAGATGATGGGAAGCAGCCGATAACAATTATTTGAACAAATGTCTTAGTAAATATGAGGTCGTGGAAAAGATTCTGTTGAGCCATAGCATCATGGGGAAGGTGGCAGGATCTACATTTATTAAGTTGAGGAAAAAGATTTATTTATTTTTTTACTTTTTCTTTATTCTTATAAAGTCATAGCATCATTATTCAATTGTTCGAATATTTTATTTGCTTGAAATGTGAGGTCCTTGAAAGCCAAGAAAAATATTTTCATCTTCCACGCAAATAATAAAAATATTTTCATCTTTTAATTACATGATAAAGATATGTTCATCTTTCAAGTAAATAATAAAAAATATTTTCATCTTTCAACTAAATGATAAAGATATGTTCATCTTTTAACTAAATAATAAAAATATTTTCATCTTTCAACTAAATGATAAAGATATATTCATCTTTGAACAAAGTAATAAAAATATTTTCATCTTTCAATTAAATGATAAAGATATATTCATCTTTCAACAAAATAATAAAAATATTTTCATCTTTTAACTAAATAATTGTTCTGCCATAAAAGGATGATTCATGTTTTGATTATTCAAGAAATTATTCAGTGTTTTCAAACTATTTTATTAGATGGTTGAAATAAGTTAGAAATGTGTTGAAGATCTCTTTACTCCAGTTCCATGAAAAATTGCTGCGCCGAATTTGAAATATAATAAATACTGTTGTCATGCAATAAAATCACCAGTCACCTTGCATTAAATAAAAAAAAAATCTCTGAATTCAAACCAGTTGAATTGTTGACCTTCATTACATTCGTGTGTAGTTTGTGCTACGTCTTTTCATTTTTTCGTTTTATTATTTCAAAATGACCTCTCAGTTTCATAGCTTTGGGATCGATCGAGAGCATTCTTGGAATTTTGATTAAAACCATTGCATTTTTTTAAACTTTACAAACCATTGCGTACCACTTGCTCGTATCTCAGTCAGTCAGTTATGTACTATGCGTTATACACGCTTAGGCGAACATATATCTTTCGATACATGGCTGACGAGGCAGATTTTTTTCCGCAGTAGATTGTCATTTCTTTCTGCGGTAGACCAGTTGCCAGCAAAGTCTATAGAACCCGGCTTGTCCTGCTATTTACCTATAACTGGGGGGGGGAAGACGATAAATACCTTTCCCAAGGACATTATTAGCACGTAAGTGAACGTAATGGATTCAACTGGAAATCGAACTCGATTCTCCGATCCCTCAATCCGAGCCGTTATCCATTACTCCCTGTGCTCTTACCTACAGAATTACTACTATTGTAAGCCTGTGACCGACTATCTTTCTCTCGTAACACTTCCACAATTATGTTAAGAGGAAGAATTGTCAAACATGCAATTTATATTCAGCTGCGACTTTCAGCAAAATAATCTAAATTCATAATTTTTCACCCAAAATTCTTAAAGAATAACCATATATCACTGAGAACTCCAAAGACACCTAAGATTTCGTTAAATAATGCGTAAAAAATATGCGTCTCTTTCTGTCTTCTTGTTACCTCTCTCCCTTTCTTTCTCTCTCTTATATATATATATATATATATATATATATATATATATATATATATATATATATATATATATATTTCCATCTACACATCTCTCTCCCCCCCCTCCCTCTCTCTCTATATATATATATATATATATATGTATATATATATTTTTTTCTTATTATTATTATGCCCTTTTGATTTTGTCTATACTATATGTATTGGTTTTTATTATATACTGGTATAATATTATTACATATTACTTTATTATATTATTATATATTTCTCTGTTTTGTTTATTATTATTACTATTATTACTATTATCATTACGCCCTTTTGATTTTGTCTATACTCTACGTATTGGGTTATTTCTTTAAAATATTATATATATATATATATATATATATATATATATATATATATATATATATATATATATATATATATATATATATATATATTTACACACCTCTATCTCTGTATGTATACAGAGCTATACATCTCTCTTTTCTTTCTTTGTTTCTTTCTCTCTCTCTCTTTCTCTCTCTATCTGTATATATATATATATATATATATATATAGTAAAATAGTCATTCAAAGAATAAATCAGTAATGTTTATGTAATTAATGGCGAACTCACTTTGCTAACAGATTAAGAAAGCATTAACTGACTACTCGCTGAACGACATCATCGTTGTTTTTATTAATTGTACAATGGATATTCGGTCCATATTGCTTATAATTACGTTCGTTAAAAACATTTACCATCCTCAGGAATAGATGTTATTTTTTTCTCAGTTCCAGTTAATTTTGTATAAAAATTCCAAGAATGGTTCTCACTAGTCACTAGAAAAAAAGGTTGCATCTTTGTTGTCAGTAAATTGTTTTTGTCTATATGAAAAAAATATAATAAATCATTATTTCTCTATCTCGGTATTGAGCTCTTTTTTGAATTAATGCTGTGAACGTTAGAATGCATATATTATTCTCGTTCTCATTACATTAGAATATATATATATATATATATATATATATATATATATATATATATATATATATATATATATATATATATACCGAAGTAACAGCAAACTGTGTAACAGTATGGGATAATTGTCTATCTTACAGAATGTTTAATGTCCCAAAAATCTACTATACTAATTGAGTTTCTTTTTTCCAGGTTTTCAGATAAGACGTTTAGCCAACTTGACAACATTTATCGTAGGAATCATTGAAAAACCGTTTGCGTTATACAACTAGAAAACAAACCGGTTAAATTCGTTTTGTAGCAGCCACACGATGTCTTCCAAACTGAGCAATGGTGAGAGAAAAAAGATCATTCGGGCATTCAGTAATGGTACCAACATTCATACTCTAGCTTCCAGTTTCAAAATCCATTCAAGAACCATGAAGAGTACGGTGAATAAGTTTTAAAAAGACGGAACAGTAGAGAGGAAAACTGGATCAGGAGGTCACAACAGCAAGTCATTTTTATTGCTCAAAGTAGAGACTAATAGTGTTATAAAACCCTCGAAGAAATCCAATAAGAAATATTTATTAATTTCTAAGATACAAT